TTAATCTAAAAGTACATTGCACTTATCCCCCGGGATTTCGCAAAATTACATTCCATGCATTTGCATGCGAACAGAATAAGAAGCGAAAACTAGACAAGTACGACACAGTATAGCTGAGACAGTAGGGATTCTTAACTACAGTATCGAATAAACCGCATAGACAAGCGATTTATAAAATAAACGTTTCTTCTTGTCTGGCTCTAGCTGGTTAGAAGTTAAACACAAGAGACAAAAGACTATCGCAATAACGCTAGATAGGATTTTCCTTAATTTAGGAAAGATTTGATTAAAAATATGCACCGTAATTATCATTATAGAATGTGTTATCAGCTACCTTTTTCTTTTTAACCCAACTGCTCTTTTTAAACTGTGTAATAAGGTTATAGAGAAAATCTGATAGTAGTTGAACGTTATTTTTATGATTATGATCAGCGCTGAATTTTGCAATTTAACAGCTCCGGTTCAGGAATTGTTTGAATACAAATCAGATAACGTGAATTAATCTTACAAGTATGCCACATCGCGCATAAACTATCATCTTACGTTACAGTCTCGGATCGTGTCGTTGTGTTGGTTAGAGCATTTAGTGAGGTAAGTTTTCATGCTGCGACCAGTAGGAGCAAAGAAACAATGGGAAAAATGGAAAGAACGGAAAAATAATTCAACTATGTGTTTGTAATGTTTGTATGATACTAAAAAATATGTATGATCGCATGATTTCTCTTTAAATAATGTAAAAAAATGTTCGCCACATTATATGTCTATCTCTTAAAATTAACTTTCAAAAACAACGGGACTGACGACGTCGCGGGTGACAGCTATAATTAATAAAGGAGAGGAAGTCATTAACAAAAACAAATATTGATACCCAAAGTTCGTAGAATAGTGGATGACGAATAGGATTAAGTCGCAAGCACAGCTAGTTCTAAAATAAAAGCATTTAAAATCGATTGATTTCAAAGCAATCGTGAAATACAAGTTTACGAATGCAAATTACTTATGTTTTGCGACATTTTCAATCTTATATTCAAGGTATAAAGTTTAAATTTCTATATACTTCTAGAATGTGCTGAATTTGACACTTGTCGTTTCGGGCGTCTAGCGTGTGGAAATATTAGAATCACGTTTTCCCGCTGAAATCGCGCCTTGTTTGGAAATATATCTAGGGTGAAGTATGAAATATCGTTTGTGATTCTTTGTTACCAACATTTTCGTATTGAGGATACCGAATATTGAGTGTATAAGGTAGTCGTGCAAAAAAAAAACTATTTCGACAATGCCTCGCCCGTGGCAACGACGGCCTGTTTGCGAGGCAGCGCGTGCCCACCATGTCGAATGATTTTACGTTAGCTGCCTCGCAAGGCTGCTCGCTTAGTGGATACACTAAACTCTCGAAGTAACATATTGCCCCAAACAGAAACAAAAGGGTCCGTCATTACTTCCGCGCGACAAACTTGTTTACTCAGAGTCCGGACTTCACCCTCTGATTTATGTAAATACGCAGTTTGGACCTGTTACTGAAACTGATTTCTTCGCAACTCCGTATAAATGTGTGAATTTTGATATTCAATGCGAGGCGTGATTCTTAGATGTTTCATCTGACACATTCATTTGACGGCAATGTGGCGGTGTAGACAGTAAAATATTTTTTCTGTCGAGTTACACTTTACAGTAATAAGCTACGGCCGCCTAAACGCCGGTAAAACATTTTATTAATGTGAAGAAAGATTCGTAGTTCGTATACTTCTTCCCTACTAGTATTAATTATTTATCAAAAATCATTTATTCATTTATATAGAGATATATTTATATAGGATTTTGTTAATTGTACAGAGGGTACAGTTAACAAAATCCTATCATTTCGACGAGATGAACGATAAGAACTGGCAAGAAACTCGCCGACACTCCATTTAACGTCAAGTTTAGAATATAATTTTCTAACGCACCTTCCACATGTACATCTCTATCCTGGTCCAAACTTGAAATGATAACAACCAGGCATTGTTAACATTTAAATATTGATTTACGTTATAACCCTTTTCAAACATAAAATGTAAACCTATTCATTTACTTGAAGGATGAAAATAGATTTTTAATTAGTTATTTCTAGCGTTAAACAAATTAATGACATCAGAAAAAGTAATTTTATGGGAAGATGTTATATTCTTCTTTTTAGTTCAAGAGTTGATTCGCAAGGTCTAATTCGGGGCATAAAACAAGGGCGAAAATATTCAGGACAAAATCACATTCAGCGGGCACAGCGCTCGATCATTCCTCCTCACCTCATTACTCGTTCCTTGACAGATGAATTTATAAGAGCCCTCCACTTTAATCATCTGCCACACTGTCAGCGAAAACAACAGTCCCTTAGAATAATGTTATTTCGCGATTTATCACGTCTCCCGTTTTTGGAACTATAAATGGAAAAAGTCGAGTGATGACGAGTCATTGGGCAATACATCTGGGATTTAACTTCTTAATTGTCTAAATAAAACACTTATAACGGCTTAAAATGCGAAAGGTATTAGTGTAATGTTGTTAAAAATAAATTGTAAATAAGTTAAACTAGTAAATTTTAAATTTAAACCGATAAAAGTGTTTTAATTAATTGTGTACTACTTCCGTCAACTGCGGACAGTACGGGAAATATATTATAACGTTTTAAGGCGTCTAACTAATATATGTCCCGTTTTAAACTGTTAAACGTGCTTTATTTAAACGAGAAACTTAACACAGAAGTATAAATATCTTAGTAAATACAAATTTAAGGATTGTTAATTTTAGTAAACGAAACATAGAGCGTTATTTAGTATATTATTGGGATCAGTCACGTTACTTTAAGCTAACAAAAATTGCTACAAAGCTTGAACGATCAATTTATCATCAACGTTGGTTACAAACCGATAACGTAATTAAAATAAACTTGACGGTGGCAATAGTCTATGACGGTAATAAACTGTGTTATGTGTTTAAGAAGCTAACTCTAGTTGTTTAATTTACACTCAAAAACAAATAATTTCGGTTATATCGATTGTGTTAAGTTTCCCCTTTTTTGTAATATAAGACTTTCAAGGAAACTTCAACCGAAATAATAAGGACATATCTATACATATATATTATACTGAAGAGATTGTTTGAGAGCGCGTTCAATCTCAGGAACTACTGGTTCCAATTGAAACATTATTTTTGTCTTAGTTAGAACATTTATCGAGAAAGGCTATAGGCTATAACATCACGCTGTGACTAATATGTGCGAAGAAGCAGCGGGAAATGTGAAAAAACGGGGAACAAATTAATCTCTGTGAGTTTTCGATGCGTACACTGCAAAAATAGTTCAAGATACCTAACAAATGTATATAAAAGAATGATTCCTTTTTAAATGATCTAAAAAAATGTCCGCGACACAATATGTATATCTTTATAGATTAACTTGTAAGAACGACGGGTCGCGAGCGACGGGACGCGTCGACGTCGGCAGTTTAAATTTATAAACATGAAGAGCTGGTTTGCAAAAACAAATTCGGGTACCCAAAATACCTAAATATAGTCATTACCTAGTTTTAAAATAAACTGAGGTATCTTCAAGCAGTAGAAGCCAGGTTTCTGAAGCGATTGCAGTATATCTATTACAATATTGGGTGTTCAGTTTGGCTCGCTTCCAAGACAACTTTATGATCGTTTGTAATGTCATAAACCTCAGCAGTGGGACAGATCCATTATAATTAGTTGTGACATGATTATTTATGAGTTGATGACTCCTGTATTGAAAATACAGGAGTCATCATTAACAGCACAGCATAATAAACAAAGAAACAGGTATCTAAAACATATTCAGACATTTTAAAATCTGTTATCCTTAAACGGTTGAACTTGAATTTTAAAACAATTTTGCGCGATTTAACAGTTCTATTTAAATACACGGCGTATTTATTTTCTAATATTGAATTGATATTAAGGTGAAATACCTTTGTCGTTGTAGTCCCGTATAATTGTTTTTCTTAATGTCGTAAATTTACCATTTTTATTAATTATTTTTCGTACTTACACAATTATTATATTCATCGGGTCTATTTTACTTTATTCACATATAATTCCTTCGTATATTACTTATAAAATATCAATAATAATAATGAAAAAAATATATAAATAATCCTTGGATTATTTATATATTTTTTTCATTCATAATTGACCTTCTTTTTAATTTTTGTAAAATTAGATAAGCCGTAAATTTCTTAAAAGAGTTATAAATAAAGCCTTATTTATTATTTGTCTAATTTATCTTCAATTACCCACTTTGTCTTTCCCTTTTTAATTAATGTTTGGATTCCTTTTAACCCTTCCCGTTGTAATTAACTTTCTTTAATGTGCAAAAATTATGTTTATTAAAAATTCTAAGAACGGAGCGTATAATTAGGCTTAATTACCTCGTTTATAAAATATTATCCTTATCCATGAAAAGTAAGAGTAGGATTCAATTAACATATATGTATAAAATTAGGACCGAAATTCGGTAGCTTACTCTGACATTCCATTCATTCTTTAATATGTTTGTATAATTTGGTTTGGTCTTTTGAAATATTACACTTAAAAATAAGTACACTAATAAGCGTTATGAATAAAACATAAGCATTTTCTTAAATACTGTCTGTAGTACCCATTTAAAAAATCACTTTAACGGTTTAAAACGGGGTCAGGATCCCTGTGACCACGGCTGTTGCAAAACATCCGAAACGTCGCGGTCGGGCCGTAGTTAAAATAATTTTTAAATAAGTTAAACTGATATATATCGCATTTTAAACCGTTAAAGTGTTTTATTTAAAAGCATTTTCTTACGTTTATTATTTAAACTTACGAAAAACAAAGAAGAAACGTAAAATAGTATCCGGTCGCTGTTTCATCCCCTCTGTGTAATATCGAACGATTAATTCCGAACAATGGCACACTGTTTCCTCGCAATACATAAAACAGAATTCTTGAGACTTTCCAGAAACTAATTCGATATGAAACGAGCCGTGGTGCAGCCGCGGAACTATGAAACAATAGCTGCAGATATATCACCCCCAGAAGGATTGCCTCTGCTGAGCGCGAACATTGTGTGCCAAGATATCTCGGGAGTCGTATATTACTTCTTATTTAAAAGACAGATTAAAATGTATATAAAAACGTTCATAGATGTGCTGTCGGCCTTTACAGTTTAAACTAATGTACGTAAATACAGTCTATAGTTTACGCGAGTAGTACACATTTAAATACAACACTTTAACTTATTTGGAAATGATTTTTAACTTCGGCCCGACGTTTCGAATGCTTTGCAGTAGCCGTGGTCACGGGGAGACTGTCGGTATATATTGCGTTTTATACTTTTAAAGTAGTGAAATTTAAATGACAAAAGAGCTCAAAGATTTAACTTCAACCTCATAAGAACGTATTAAAGAGAAATTAATCTAACTCGCACTATAGGATTGCGCAAGACAAAAGTATCCAACTGAACCTTACAAACAAAAGCCGTCACCGACAGTAGCAAAATCTGCGCGAAAGTTGGACGAGAGATCCATCGGGAAGGTTTCTTTAATCTGAACGTTGGCCCAGATAAGACGGGATCGAACTTGCTCAGATGCAAACTTTACACAATTAAACCTTTATTTCGCACCCCGACAATGAGGAGTAATTAGCGCTTGGCGTCTGCTGAATTTTTTCAACGAAAACTTCGAATCGGGCTTCCCTTTGTCCGCGAGAATTTCATCAATCTCCTTTTGTCGAGGATGGCTCTCGAAAAACCTATTAACATCAGAATGGAGTGTTCGACGACTTGAAGTTCAATTGGAGACGCACAACTTTTGATGGGCTGGTGGGTGTATTAGTAGCAATGTACAACAATGAACAGGTCGAGGCTGTGATCCCCACGGTGTCATGTTTCTAATTAATTTAGAAATTTTCTGATACATGTTGGACTTCGTCTGTTCTCGATATTAAATGGGTGGTAAATATCAAAATTTCAGATGAAAAAATAATGAAGCTTAATCGCGTTTCGGCTTCGGCCTGAGAATTTCCGAATATCCAAAGCCAAAATAGATCGACAGTGCATCTTGTTCAGATGTTATATAGCTAAGGTATTTATTTTAGAAATTCCTAGTCACTCAGCGAACTTAGCTGGTCACTCTTTTTCCATCTCTGCTGCAAAACTTTGGAAATCTCTACCTGACTCCGTCTGATTAGCTCCTTCCTTTAAAAGTCTTTTATATAAACATCTACTGTCCTTATCAATTAATGAATTTAACTTTCCTTTTTTTTATTTTAATGGGTTTTTATTATTATTACTTTAAGTTTTTTATTTTGTTTAGTTTAAGTAATATTAAGTAACTAGTAAGTTTCGCACTTCTTGCACACTGTATAGCGATAAGGCCGCCCGGTACACTCTATAGCTTTAAAATGCATAGTATCTGTAAGTTCTGTTTGGTGTACCTAAGTGTAAAATAAACAAATATTTCACCTTCCATCAAGTGAACATATGACTGTCTGTCCTCCTTTCTAATAAAAAAGCAACGTCGATAACAAATCTGTGAATCAATTTAAGGAGCCATTTTTAATATCCGGCCGAGGTTAACATACTTCCCTTCGCACGGCCCAGCAGCCGCGGAGTGTTAAATTCAATAAACGCTGATTTGTAGGCCTGGCTACGAGCTGAATGAACGTTTACAATACTCCTTATTGAGCCATTAACTGTAATAGCTGTTACAATAGAGCATTACAATTTGTCTCGTCGCGATGCTTCGTAGGAACTCGTTAAGGCGGTATAAATATAGTACGAGAATAGGGCTTGTCACCTTCGATATAGAGTTGTATTTTGAATGCCAGTGCATTCATAGAGTTTATCGCCGGATATTGTAAAGTGGTCACAGTTACACAATGTGCCGGGATCGGGGGTATCGATGCGAACGACTTGCGGCAGGTTTGCGGACATTCATTGTGTTCGGGAGCAAACCAATATAATTAATTTTATTTATTTCCTGCGTGTTTTGTTTCTATATTTAAATCTTTAAGTATATTAATTATTATTTTTTAATTATAGTATTCTTAAGTAAAGGCCTACCTGCTGGACAAACACAATCCGCTACATCACGCCTACTCCTATACACCTGGGTCTTCTGCACTGACGGTTGAGTTAATCTCTCTAGCACTAACTGTCGCTTTTCCAGCACTTGCAGCCGCTCCTCCAGAATCTGTTGTCGCACTATACTATATCCACAGCCTAGCAATACAATCACACAGAAGAACACACGCACTACACAATAACAAATGTTCTGTTCCTTTTGCCCCATTTTCGTTTCAACGTCCGGTACATTCAGGAGAAAAGCCCGTTAACCCGCGGAATGTCTCACATGATCCAATTATATTGGTGGCACATTGTTCCAAGTTTTGTGAAAATTTGGTAACTCAAGGATTACATTCGTGAATTTCGGCAACGGAACAATATAGACGACCGATCGAACGATGATTCGATATACTAAGGAGTTAGTGTCAGTCCGTCAGTACCTCGTTGGGGTCCCTCGGGAAAGGATGTAGCTCGTACAATGCTAACTGCCCTTCTAGTTGTGTCGATTGGGCGAGTACCCTTCCGCACTTGATAGACGTGTCACGGATGCTCTTCAATATGAATGTCATGCTAGTGACGATAATTGCGAAGCGAAAAGGGGATTGCTGCCGTGAATGACACTTCCTCAACCAAATCCTATTAACTCAATTAGGACGGCCAAATTCGGGAACTGCTTTTATTCTTACGAATAAGAGACGGGATATAGATCATTTAAATCAAATACTATTAGCGTAGCACCTAGTAATGAACTTTTAACGACTGTGGTCACAGCGCTAAGTGACCACGTATCGTGGTGGGATCCGGGTTCATCATTTTTCTAATCAAGTTATAAATTTCTGCAACATATTATACTTTACCTGGCAATGTGGATATTTAATGGGTGGCAGTAAAATCTGAATTCATAACGACGTACCGTCCGCAGTCTACATATTTAAATGTGGAAGGAACTCGCGTTAGCTACAGACAATAGGATATGGACAAATAAAACAAAAAATAATACAGATTATAAACTGTACAAATATTTCATCGCATTTTATTGTTTCTTTGTTTTCAATAATGTCTTCATAAGAACCTATACTAACTAAGCGAAAAATAGGAACAACGGTATACTCTTAAGTTTGTCTTTGCAATATTATTTATTAAATGTTGTCATACTATATTCCGTACACCATTAGTCTCATACATATTCAAGCGATCCTTTGTGTTGTCACTGCGTTCGCAAATACAAGAATTATTTCAAATGCACCCACAGTTCGATGACAATAAGCAAACGTTAATTTGCATTTATATTGCACATAAACTGCTCTGCAGTCACTGATCGGTGAGCAGCAAGCAATTAAGGGCATTCTTGTTCTATATTCAGACAAATGTTTTGGGGGAAGTCGGAAGATTTTTATCTTACGCTGCTGTAATTTTAGTTTTCAGCGAAAACGGTGCTGCAAATATTGATTGTGTTGTGCTGCATTTTGTTTAGTTTGTTTCTAGGGTTTAAAACTATTTCTTAGTAATTAAATATATATTATAATTTTATAATAGTACAACAAAACTATAAAATTTAATATATTGGCCATATTACTTTTATATAAATTAATTACTTAATTTTATATCAATTCTGACGGATACAGGCTACGAAGCACAAAAGACGAAAATTTTCGTTTCGTTTTCAGCCTGTGGATTGTCGAATGTCCAAGCTAAGATTGAAGAGACATTGGCTGGAATTTTTCATTTTGCATTTTTCAAACTGCATGCTTGTCTATCCTCTGTAGCCCCAACGATTATAAATATATTGCCTAGCAATGCGTTAAGTGCGAGATCCTGGGCTCAAATCCCGGGGAAACGATAGATTGTTTCGCTCGGGCTGGGCACAGAAGTCTGACACAGAAATGTGCTATGTATTATATTATATATCTATTATCAGGGGATTGACTGTACTCTTTCGTCACAAAATTGTATTTTTAATGTTCAATTGCGTGTAATATAGTAGTGTAAGGATTCTTTACCTTTTCCATTAGTAATAAGATCAATACAAAGCCTTTTTATATATGCAGATTGTCTTAACCTTGGGGCGTCTCATCCCCTTCCTAGACGAATAAATCTTAGCAATCTTCCCGCGTCCAGGGGATCAGTCGTTCCGATTACACAGACTCGCGGAGCGTGATAAATCGCTATATGTATTATCTGTGGACTAGGGCACTTTTATCAGACAACTCTACTCTATTTCAGTTGTAAGTCATGTTGTGAAGACAAAGGATAAGATCCTCCGGCATTGCTGCTAAGCCTGGATGAACGGGACGCGACTGCCTGAAAAATTATAGAAGATCCACGAAGTAATTGTACAGTGGGGAGTGAAACACTTTTCCGTTTCTATAAATTCCATTCCTTTATCATAAGGTAGGTGATATTGATATTATATTTCAGTGATATACCATGAAAACAATTGAAACAATATTACGATTGTTCAAATTTCTTTCAATTCTTAAATTACTTTGTTTTTTATTCTATTACAACTAAACATTAAAAGTCATATTGTATGCTTATATGCGAATAGATATTCAAGTAATTTAATGTTTTCGTAATAGTTATTAACTAGTTGCCTACAATTAAGCATGAGTCCTGTGTTCGAATCCTGGGGAATCAATAGATTGTTTAGGCCAAAGCACAGGAGTCTGATGAACTAACAAGCCTGTAGAATAAAATTGGCCAGTGACACGGACATAGAAATATGTTCGCCCCATGCTCTAAGGGGACATTTTGCATACATACGAGCTATCCAACAGATAGTAGGTACATTATAAAACGTTATAGCTACTAAAGCTCGAATAATCAACAAAGCATGAAATATCACCACTCTTTAACCATATTATAGAAAATTAAGTGTAGATAATGTCATCTCGTAACGTCATGCTTTTATCTTTGTAATTAAGGCACTAATTGGGCCGAGGTAATTGGGCCAAGAGTGTCTTAAATGACGCTCACTTTGCCTGAGTGCCGGGATTATGTGTTGCCGGCTGAGTGCTCGAATGTAGTGAATATTGAGCGTCACTTTAGCCATCTCGACATTTTTGTAATTGAATTCCGATTCGGGTGCTCGAACTTCAATTCGTGCCTATAACGTAATTTGAAAGAGGAAATTTGATGTGACCCTGATATCTGTCTGGAAAATAATTGACGCTCTAAAATTTTGCGTGTATTTCTCGCGTTCTGAAGACAGTTTTCGGGACATAGGGGGTGCGGCGAGTACTACGATGAAGGTAGATAGGACGGTTAAACAAAGACACTGTGGGAGCTTTATAGCGTAAAAATATAACAACATAAACTAGAAATTAAAAGTATATTTTGATTAAACAAAAACATTCGACACGTAAGACTTGAACCGGCGTCTATGGCGTTCCGTGCTGCTCTATCACCGCCACTTTACCGTCGTTAGAGCAAAGAACGCTTACGATGCCGGTTTAAGCCCCCTCCGTGTCGTAATTTTTTTTCATTTATTTGAGTAATTTAACACTTAAATAAAACACTTTAACGGTTTAAAACGCGATATATTAGTTAAACTTATTTGAAAATGAGTTTTAACTTCGGCCCGACGTTTCGGATGCTTTGCAGCAGCCGTGGTCACGGAGAGACTCGAATAAATGTGTACTACTCGCGTAAACTATAGACAGTATCTAATTCAACACTGATGTGAGTAAAAATGCATTACACAGCACGACAACGACTCTACGTCAAATGTTATTTCAATTTCTAAGTTCAAATCCCTTGAGAACAAAAACTCGTTATCTGGTAACTTTGTACATACATTACTAAAGTCATTAATTTATATCGAATATAAATTTACTACGGTTTAGTATTCTTATGACCTTTGAAATTATTGAAAACAGCATTTACTAATTATTTAGGCATAAAATGTCCTTAAGATATAAGTTCTTAAAGTACCTTTGTATTTTACATAGCCTCAGCTAAAAGTATTTTTTTTCAAAAGCAACTACATACTGTCATATTACTCTCGGAAGTATACTGAACCCCGAGTTCATAATTAACAATAGTCATGTCAGTAATATATTAGTTTATCACGTCGTCTGCTGACAATGAATCACAATTGTTGGGATTAACGAGGCAGTTCCATTAGTACGCAGTAAATTCATATAAAAGTATACAAACGACACGGACATACAAACCAATAAATAATCACATACTTTTTTATTTATATATTTCCAATTTTGACGGGCTCGTTTTGTATTATACTAGCAATGTATAATCAACGAGTCCTAAGTTCGATCCCCGCCGCGTCCAACATTATTCTAATCAATTTATAATTTTTCTGAAACATGTAGGAGTTTGTCTGGATATCTCGGTAACACAGTCCACAGATGAAAAAACCGTCAAGTTTAATCGCTCTCAGTTTGTGGATTTCCGAATATCCAAAGCCAAAATGGGTCGATACGCATCGTGTTTACATATATAGCTTTGGTATTTTACCTACCATCAACTGAATCCCGTGGTTGTCTATCTTACTTTATGAAACAAAAATGTTTTTAAGTTCCCTTAATCGATTTTCTGTTGCGTGCGCTGCGAAAATTGTTTAAGATACCCATATACGTGAAAGAACTATTCTGTTTATTTTATTGTGCATCCTTCAAGATAAAGCCAGAAAACCTGTTTTAAGGTAATTCAATTTTTTTAAAGCTACATATAGATACTTTACACTAAGGCTGATTATAGAATAAACTACGGAGTAAGAAGAGAAAACACAATGAGTTCCAATTATAAAAATGTGCTCCCAACCTGCGCCTTCGTGTCCTAATTAGAATTCATAAAATCCAATTAAAATCGAAACGGGAACGAGGTTCAAATGTTAAACGAGTTACAAACACGTAAGAGGAGGCTTCAAGGGTTAATGCGATTAAAAATGAAAAGTCCGGCTAAATCGGTATTAGCCAGTCTGGCGCAGGTTCCCCAGTCGAGACATCTCTTTGCGCGAAGCTTACGTCAAGTTCTGATTCGCATCGCTTTGTCATCCGACTTTCATTATTACGCAAATTTACATGTGTGTCATTTACATACAACCTTTTTGTGTAATAGAGGAGCAAAGACATGGTTCACATTGGCATATAACATACCTATAAACAAGAAGGGCTGTCGACTTCTTTCGGCTCGACAGACTGAAACCGAAATTCGATTAAACTTGACGGCTTTTTAATGTCTGGCTATTTGCTTTATCAGCTCTCT